CCCTACTTACCCAAACTAAATAGAAAGAATATGAAAATTATCACCTGAGAACCATAGCTCTATCCAGTTTATCATCACCTACCTCACAAAACAGTCATCTAAAGTTTACCAGTTGATGAACATGTATCATGCCAGAAGGAAAAGTAAGTTTTAAATAAAATTCTGGTTCACTGATTAGACATGAAACAAAAGAAAAGAAAATCAAAAGAAGTGACAAATCAAAGCATATAAATTTTCTCTGAAATCCCTAGCGATCCCTTCTGTTTGGGAACTAAGGTACCAGGTCAGCAGTGCTTACATAAATCAGAAGTAAAATGGATCTTACCTTGGGAACTCTGAGAGGACTCAGTAGAAGAGGAACTACTCTCTGTATAATTCTGTGGTTCTTCTTTTCCTTCCTGAATGGATGAATTACCAGCCTCTGCTACCCTGGATGCTTGCTGTAATGTTTCTGTTACCAGCTGTCTTGTCTGTTCACTAACAACCGTGGCTTGAAACGTCACTGGTTTGGGTTTAATAAGAACCTAAAAAATATATATAATAAAACGTGAAAGTATGATTTAAAATAATAAACTTCTAGGTCATGAACTAACATTTTCCTCATATGAAAAACAGCATTCTGTACATTCATTATGCTTCAGATACAGCACTATTCATCAAAGACTAAGTCATACTTCAGACAAATTACAGTTAAGCCATGTACAATGCTTTATGTGGTGCGTGCCAGACTGCAATAATCACGATCTGACAAAAAAGCCTCTACAAGTGTTTTTCCCACCTATAATGGTTTGGTGACAAGCTAAGGATGGCAGAACAAAAAGACACAAAGAACCTAAATTCCAGTGGAATTTTTGAGCCACAGTATCAGTCCAGGACTTCCTCCTTCAGAATTTTTATCAACAAAAGTAAAAGTAAAATCTTAATTTGTTTAAGCCATTGTTCTTTAAGTTTTTTGTGAGAACCCAAATGAAACTTCTAACTGACATGCCTGCACAATGTTGACTTGCCTGAGACCTAAGTAATCTTTGAAAAAAAACCCCAGAGGAACACTGATTTGGACAACTATCCAAAGCAACAAACAATGTGTAGTAAATTGACACCTGGCAAAAAATCAAAACCACAGGCACTAAAACAAGTAAAATAGGAGAACATTTTTTTTTAAGGTGGGTGATTTTTGTTTTTGTTTTGCCACAGGGGACGTGTGTTCACCAGAGAGAGACAGTCAGAGATAGTGAGAGAGAAAGCGTGAAATCACCACCTCCCTGCACGGAAGGGCACACCCAATCACTTCTCCATTATCATCCTTGGATTTTTAAAGATGTGATTTTTCAGGCCACCAGTTCCAGGACTTGAACCATGGTCAGTCAAGTGGAAGTCCAATGCCTTAATCACTATGCCTCCTGATGGCCCTATGTTTGAACCAGACCAACTTACTTCAAAACTTGAACTCACGGGAGCCAGTAAGTGGCATGGAGGTTAAGACACTAGATCCCACATAGTAAACTCCGTGGTTAGAGTCCCAGACTCAGCAGCTTGAAAATCACGCCAGGTACATATACGTGCATGCCCAAAATCCCAAGAGGAGACTGGAGGAGTAGGGACTACAGTATGGCTATCCCCATCTCCTTCTGGAGTTGGTGTAGGGGTGATTTCTTTTTCTTTTTCTCTCTCTCTTGTCTCTCTCTGACAAGTGCATGTGCCCTATGGCAAAATCTTAAAAAAAAAAAAGGGGGGGGGGCACTAAGGGGACCAGCAGTTAGTGTAATGGTTATTTTTCTGCAATCCAAA